CTCACTTCCTAGTCCTAAAACTTGTTTAAATCCACATTCAGTTACAGTTCAAAGCCCTCCAATCCAAAACCCTTCAAATTATTTGGATATTCTTCTTCTCCTAGACTATTATGTTCGTATTTTAGCTGTTTTACCTTTTGATTTTCCTCAGTATTCATTCCAATTTGATTTTTTCTAGTCCACGGGACGACATCTATAATTATCATTTTCAAATTGATCAATTGGGTTTGTCCTCTGTCAGTCTGTCTCTTGAACCAAGAATTTGAGGTGGGTTTATGTTTTTAGACGCGCATGTATGTTGATCATTGGTGGGTTTTATGTTTATTTGTGGAATAGGTTGTCTTATTCTTTGATTTTGTTTTTAACGAATTTGATTTGACTAGTGAAGGAGAAAGAGAGAGATGGAAAATGGAGAAGCCAACTTAGAAAGTAAATTCTCGGGATTGACGATGAGCGATTCAAATGATGGATTATTTCAGGTCATGAAAGCAGTGGTAGCTGCTGAGGTCACCATTAAGCAGCAGGTCTTTTTCTCTTCTCCTGCCGCTCCTTCGTTCGTGGAACTATCGAATTTCTGCAATTTAGTTCATGTTACAATTGGTTCAAAGTTTGGCTAATAATTCCACTTATTTGTCACACTGGAAACTCCTATAAGCAAGGGTTTGCAACTGTTTTATCTAGGGGGATCCACTTAGAAAGTCTAGATGATATCCTGATTATTTTTTTATTTTTTTGTCAAAAACAAATTTGCATTTACTCAGAAGGGGGCATTGGCTGTCGGGATTCTCTTTTTGAGTTATCATTCTTTAACCAAGAGTAATGCTATCTAGCAGAGGATCAGTCTAGGTATCAAACGCATGATATGGCCAATTAAATACATCCTATATTCCTACATTTAATTAAGTTTATCATTTAATGTCAGATGTGTTGACACCTGACTAATATTAAACACCATTGGAGCTGTATAGCATTATTCTTAACCAAATAACGTCTAAAACACGTCTCTCATCGCAGAGCACTCTCTCAATGCATTACTTTACTTCATATATAGTATTTTCCTTAGTTTGCCTAAAAAAAGAATATATGACCATATATAATGGAAGCATACTTTGAATGTAAATACCATGTGAACAGCTAGAATAATATATTACGTTTTAGCGTGGGTGTACTTCACATCAAACTAGCTTTAATTAGTAAGTTCTTCACGTGTAAACCCTAAAGTTAGTAAGAAGCAGCAAATCTTGTATCTAAAGGTGATCCTGCTCAATCTTGAAATAGTAGTCACTGCATTTTTGAACACGTGGTGATCCTTGTTACTGGAATTCGTCAAAGCACGTTAGAAGTTTCCTGCTTAAAAACACGCCAGAAGTAGTCCAAGAAAAAAATTAGAACTTTCGAAAACTTCACTTCATATATAAACTCTAGAAGTCAAGTAAGTCTTACAATATGAATTCTATTTATGGTTAATAAACTGTGGGAACAGTAAGATTGTACTAAAATCTGACATGATTTTAATTGTTAACAATGATCCATCCACATGGCTAGCTTAGATTATTTGCTTTAATTAGTTTAGAATTATATTGCAATTAGTTAGGTGGTTTATGTCGTTAATTAGCCCTATTCTTGAAGCAATAATCTTTCTAGTTAGTTAAAATTGTTAGAATCCTCAATATATACACACAAGGCAATATCATATCGTAACGAAACTTTCAGCTAATATTTATTTTTAACTACCACATATATTTATCTCCTTTCTCCTCTTCTTTGCTATCTTCCTTTTTCTATCGTGGTGTCAAAGTTACCATGGCCAATCCACTTGCTACGACC